AAATAGGGCTACCCAATAAAAATCTTAATATATATTAAAAAAACTATTTATATGCTGGAAACACACCTCTATTCATTTCCTATATCAGTATGTTAGACATTTAAAGAACAACTTGAATATTTAAGTGCTGCATACAAAAGTCCTATTGAATTTGCATGCAGGTAACAGAACAAAATGTGATTTCTTGTTGAGTAAACCTTATTCAGCATTAGTATACTTTATCAGTGAAGATAGTGCTACCATGAGATAAATGATTTCTATATTATGCTATAAGTAATTGCTGCAATTTATGCTAAGCAAGAACAACCTTCAGCCATGTGTGTCTCCCCAAGAGCTATTAGCTGATTTTACTTCATTTTTTTCAATGTAAATTCGTATGTTCATTCCGAAGCAAGTTTTGAACGCTTGAGGCTCAGCAAAGATACTAAAAAAACCCTCAGATGCATCCTTCCTCATTCTATTTCTTGAGGAGAAAAATAAAATAAAATAAAACTGGTTATGGTAAATAAATTTCCAAAAAATAAAAATGAATGTTTCTGAAGAGTAAAACAGAAGAACCAACCAACGGAAAAAAAAAAAAAAACCCAAAATACTGGACCTGCTGTTTTGGCCTGTTAATTAATACTTCAGATCTACTTTCTGTCTTGGGGAATTAACATTACTCAATTTACAGACAGGAATATTAACCTCAAGTTTAGGGCTCCCACATCCACTTCCATGATAATGAAAGTTATAAAGAGAAAGAAAGATAAGGTTCTTACTGTTTCAGTCTATGCTTTTCAAGAGGCTAAAGTGGATGCAAAAGGTTTCTTATTGATGGCTGAAAGACCATTTTTATGGTAGTAGTACAGTGAAAGACTATAAAGCAGTCTATAGATTAACCTTCAAAGCCCTTCCTAGAACTGGAATTTTAGGTAGTTTTGCAATTTGCATATTGCAGGGAATCCATATAGAGGAGTAGTAAATATGGTTATATTCTCCAGCTTTCATTCATATAAATGTCCATAGTGCTTTTAATAGAATCAGGAAAACAGAGTTCTTAGACCTTCTAAGAGGCTATCATGAAAACTTGCTTATTTTAATAGAATCAGTTTTTCAAGTATTCGATCAATAAAAAATACTTTCCTATTAATGTCTTATGAATTAATATTACTAATCAATTTCCACCTTAACTAATCTTAATTACAATATCATACTGTTTTATCTACTTTCGTAATATAATGGAAACTAGAAGGAATATTTTCTGGAATTATAGTCTCTAGTAGGTGATCATATTATATTTTTATCAGAGCTACTGTTCCTTTCTGAAATAGCTACTCAGCTCCACCAAAATCATAATCAAAAATAAAGTTCTTGAGAATTAAAAAGCTAAATGAATCTTTACTTTGCCAAAGCAACTAATGCAAGTTCTGTAAACACATATCTATAAAAGCATTCCCTACAGAAAACTAACACCAAAAATAGTTCACCTGTAATCAAGTGACCAAGGACCTTAGTTTAAAATGAGAAAATAACCATTTGTAGATTACTTAGAAAAACTCTATGCTTTATAATTGACTAGTGCTAAAGAATCTTTTTCTTTGTTAGAAGAACAGATTGAGGAACTCTGAGTTGTTCACTGTTATTTTTGAGAATTTATGAGCTTCCAGATGGTAAAGGGAAAGCACATTACTTTATCTTTAAAAAGAGGAAAAAAGAATTGCAGAATTAATTTCAATTTCTTGAGAGGTATTGGAAAAATATTTATCTACATTATTTATAAGTACAAGGAAAATAAGGAAGGGAATAGAGTCAAAGGATTTGTTCTGAAAATATATATATATGTGTGTATAAATATATATTGTTCTAGGACATGCTACAAGAACTATGAATGGAACAAAAGCAGTAGATATCAATTCCTTTAGTTAGGTTTTGCTTTCTATTTTAATATTTTTGAGAATAATATTGGGAACAATTACTGCTAATATGAACTACTAAATAGGGTCAAGTGCAAAGAACCATAATTTGACAAGAATAACCACCTACAAAAATACAGGATCTAGAACAAATGGCCAGCTGTTCTGCAGAAAAGGATCTGACCACAAGTCAAGCAGGATATGACAGCATTACTTCGTGGTGAAAAGGAAATACCCTACTGGAGTATGGAAACAGGTGTGTTCACGTAACCCTTTAGGTTAAATCAGCACTGCAGAAGCCTCACATGGAGTTCTGTGTCTTGTTTTGGGCATTGGATAAGAAAGGCCTGACTCAGCTGGAAGAAGACAAAATAATTAGTATGTATCAAATATAAGAGAAGATTTTATGAATTTGTTCATTAAATGAATTTGTTTATGAGTAAACTACTTATCCTGGTATAAAGGAACTGAACGGAAAGTGAATAAAGGCTTGATGGAAAGAGGTGGATTGAGAGATTTCTCCATCACAGCAAGAAAAAGTCAGCTCAGCTCTGTTAAAATAAAGTTCTGCCAATAAGAATAGTTAAGTTTTGGACTGGCTTCCCTGGAGATATCACTGGAAATCTTTTAAGACTGGTTTAGGCAGACATCTGCTTGGAATGTCATAGGCATATTTCAGTTTGCCTTATCATCCTCTTAAGGACCTTTAAGATAACGACTACATCACATTAATTTAAAGCAGCCAATGACCCCATAGAAAATGTATAGGTGAAACCACACCAGTACTCGAGGCAGAAAAAACACATATAGGGGATTAGTAAAGAAAGATATATTAAATTATCAATAAAAAGAGCAGGTTTGTAAAAGAGATGCTCAATTTCTCTCTTCTCAGTTCTGAACTTCAAGGAAGAACATAATAAGTACATAAGTAATAACAGCAAGTTTACATTTCTGCTTCATGGGGGCAGCTAAGTTACCCTATTCTGTTCCACTATAGCTGGACACCTTTCTAAAAATATTTAATGGAATAATGCAATCAAGCTGCATCTCCAGAAAGTTTTCCCAACTTCAGCTTAACGTTTGCTGTGCCTACGGAAAGCCTTGTAGCTTTACCCGTTTTTTTCTCAATCCTTGCCTTTGAAAGCTTGCTTAAAAACTAATAATTTCAAACAGTCTAGTGCTTTAAATTTAAGGTTTTCAGAGTGCTTTAAACTAGAGAGGTAGGAATAAGTGAGATTACTGTACTACTGCTAAAGCTTTCTGATAAACAGAGCAACTCAGGCATAGAAGCTATAGAGTTTACCTATGTTATACAGAAAGATCATCTGCAGAATTAAAAGTGGAATGCTTGAAAGAGATATTCCATTGCTTGCTTCTAATCTCTGGAAAAAAATACCTGAAGCAGAAGCAGACACTTAGTCCAAATATAAATAAATAAATAAACACAAATCAATAAGAATTTATGGAACAACATACATATTTGAATAGGAACATACCGGCACAAATGAACTTAGTGCAGAGGCTACACTAAAGTAGTACACTAAAGAGTAATTCATGTTTCTTTCTATAAGAAAGAAAGTCTTAGCTAAGAATCAAGTTACATGATGAATTATGGAACTGTTGAAATACAATGCATGTAGCCATGCTACAGCCTTACACTTTTAAGCCATCACCTCAGAAATTTTTACTACTGATATAAAAAAATGTATTTTTATGTGTTTATGCATATACACAGATGTATATACATACATATTATACACATATAAAACGGATATATTTGCACAAATGTGTATAAAAATACACCAAGGAGAAATGTTCTGTAAATGAAGTTTGAACCACACTGAACTTTTATTTTTAAGCAAATATTACGTACTTTAAGATGCCTATTAATTATTCCTCTATATTATTTCATATATTATGTTAATCTCATTGTGGCACTAAGTAAAAAAAGTTTTGTTTTTTTTTATCTTGCAATTCAAAGAGTTTCTGAAGCTTTATGATTCCTCACAGCTACTAAAAAAGCAAACTGTCAAACATTTCACAGCAATATTCTCAAAGGCTATATAGAATATAAAAGGAAAATTGTATCTTAATGCACGATTCATTTAATCACTATACTCTAACCACCTGAAAATAGAAATTATTAGGACTATAAGGAGGATTTTCCATAACTCAGACTTGGAACAGTATATTTCAAACTTATATGTCAAAATATTAGATGTGAATTATTGACAAACTAATTTTACATCTTTTTTAAAGTCAGGTTTATTCTAGATGCAAACTGATGTCTTTGAAGATATATTCTTCAGCCTAAACATTGACTTGAAAACATGAGATGTAGCAGGATTATTAGTGAATCTCAAGAACAAATAATAATAAAAGTCTTTCTGAATATATAGACTTACAACATATTTTTAGTTTAATAGTGTTGTTCTATTCAAAAAAAATCAACGAATTAGACTTTAAATTAGATTAGATTTATCAGATATAAAAGCATGTCATCATAATTCTTATTCACAACAAATACTGACAAAATATTTCTATAAAATGTCCATTCTTTCCTAGTCTTCACATTACAATGGGATTATTTCATTTCCCTTTAGCCCTTGACAAGGCAGGAATCTGGTTTAAGCTAGTTGTTCAGTCTTTTTATCTACATAACCGAGAAATCTGTGTGCAACAAAATATAATTCATCCATAAGATTTCAGACAGCTATCTACAGACGGAATACACTGCATATAAAACTGTCTTTCGTTCATTGATTAATGAATGTGCTCAAACATCTGAGTTATACAAGAAGTAAAAGTTTGAGAAAGCTAAAGCTAAGATAAATGAATCTCACTCTAAATTTTTTATTAAAATTACTTCTAGAAATTATAACATTTTTGAATGAAGAATGAACTCACACCTCAGTTTCTTTTCTCTAATAGTTTTACATTTTTCCTTAAATATCAGTAGATTTTCATTGGACTAAAACCCTCGGAAGCATGTCTTGATTGGCTTAGACCCCCACACCCTTGGAATAGAACTTTTTTTTTTTGCTATATTCTAATAAAGAAAATAATGCAAAACATAGCCTTTAAGTAACAAATAACCTCTAATACCTTTGTTGTTATCCATTCCTCCAACAGCATAAAGTGTCCCAACTGTAGATTTCCTTGGTTTTGTTCTTGGACTTTGCATTAGAGTTCTTCTTTCTGGTAAGAGATGGTATTTCATGGCTTCCAGAATAAGCTTCTGGCATTCCAGGTCATCCTTAAAAAGTGCATGGTTTTCCAAGTCAGCCAGTATCTGTGAATTATATGATCATCAATCAAAAATGTTATAATATCTCTAGAAAAGAATTATCATGCAACGGCAGAAGATCACAAAAATGATGTCATAGCACTTTATTGTAGATTTTTTTTTCTCTTTTGTTGTTGTTGTTGTTATAGGCAATTAAATATTTAGTTGATCTTGAAAAGACTGTAGGCAACATTTAGATTCACAATTTCACCATCCCTTGAGATTACAATAAGTTTCTTATTGAAGCTATCAAAGGAAATAGGTGTTCTCTTGTCTACTACAGCCTGACTTATTTTTCAACAGTTTTCAAAACAAAAGATTGAGAATATATTTCTTTTTGTGATCATCATGAACAGCAGTTACATAACATTGCTGCATGTCATCTACAAAATGTTGTTAACAATTCATATTTTCACCTTTTAAAACAAATAAAAAATTATGATTGGCCCTTTGTCTTATTTTCTTTTATTTTATGGATGATAAGAAAACTAGTAGTAACAGCAACAATAAAAACAAAATCAACTAGTTCCAACTGGATTTCACTGAAATCTAGTTCCTCGACCTTCTCTTCCTCCTCCCCCCAAAAAATATTAAGGAAATTTAAATATAATGAATGAGGAGTATGTAAACTTTCAATAATCAAAATCGTGGTCATACCTCTTCAATAAATAGCTATGAAACTATCTTTCATTGCAATTAAAGCCTATAGTAATACTATTTTAAATTATAATATTGCATATTTAATAATCCTATATTCCTCTCTACAGAAATCTTAACTATTTCCTTTGGGACATATAGATTATATAACTGTTACTGACATAAAATCATCTCAAATGAAAATGTGATCATCTCTATAATATTTTATACAATAGTTTCCAGGAATATATCTTTTTTCTAAAAAAGAAAAAAAAAAGACTATTGCTTTGATATATAATTGGCAAAATTATGCATTAACAATCTGGATAAAAATTAAATAATTATACCTCCTTTCTCTGGATTACATTGATAATATGACTGTATCTCTGCAAATGGTGTGACAGTTATCTGCAATCAGTAGTCACTGAAAGAGACGCTCAGTGAACACACTTGAAAGAATGTCATATTATGTTAGATTTCCAAGAAGGAAGACTACAAATTGTATTAAGTGTTTAACGTGCCATACATACATATCTAGTGGAATCTGAGATGCTTTAAAGCACCCTGGAAGTTTTAAAGCTCAGATTTCACTAAGTAACCTTATCTGATCTCATCGCTGACCCTGCTTTGCGCAGGAAGCTGGACTAAAAACCTGCTGAGGCCTATGCCCACCTGGACATTTCTACATTTTCATGATCTTCATGCTGGCATAAGAAGAGTGCAAGTCTTATGCAGGTTTTGTATCATATCTGTGGATGTCTCAGTTGTCTGAAGGCATCAGAAGTGGACCAAACCCTCAATGTCTGTGTTTAGGCAATTGAGCATTACCTCTAATAATTGATATATTCGTCTAATCGTATCAAATAAGAATAGGATTTGACTGCATGCATTTAGGTGTCTAATACTATATGAAATGCCCTAGCACATCTAGGGCAACACATGCCGGTAGATAGAGCATAATCCTTTTTGGTGAAACAGCTGTACGCAAGGAAGCAGGAGAGCTTAGTCCCCCAGTGTCTACAAAACACTTCCTCACAGATACCTATATGCAAACTTAGGGACTGCAGTTCAGTTGTTTAAACATAGGAAGCTAGATCCATTTTAAGCGCTGTGAAGTATTTCTTCTAAACTTCAGCTGCTGCTGGAGAATGTGTGGATTTCCTTTTATGGATATCTTGCATATTCTGACTTCTCCAATATTACTAGCAAGTGCATGTAGATAGCAGACTCTTGCTTCTGATTTTAGGTGTCAAATGAATCTATTCAGTTGCAAAGACAAGCAATATACACTGTGGTATCTCACCTGGTTACAGCTACTACTCTAAAGCTCTCATTTTCCATGGCTGGTGACCTAACAGACAACAGACTTATTTATTAAAGAAAACACTTAAGTAGGTTTATTTAGCCTAGTACTTTGTCTCTGACTGTGTCCTTAAGTAAACGTATAGGGCCACAATAGCCATAAGACTATTTTCAAATATATAATACTTCCCCTTAGTACTTAATACTTCCTCTTAAATTCCTGGGGTTCAAATTTCAGGTGAGGGACCTCCTGAGATGGATGTCTTTTCTATATATTTTGTAATTCTCAGGGGCCTTATCTTCCATGATTTGTTCAATTTTCCTTTGAACTCATATAAGTTTGTTACATTCACAATATGTTTTGACCAAAAAAAAATTGACGAATACACCACTCACTGCATATGAAAGTTTAGCTCCTTTTGCTTGTTGTGAACCTGACTCCTGTTTGCTTCATTTGCTTTCATTCAGCTTACCTCATTCATTTCTTTCGTTTCATTCAGTGCCCACTACTTATTCTATTGCAGGAGTCAATGAATAATTGACCTCTATCCATACTCTGTAAGTGCCTCATGATACTGTAGGACTTCGTCATATTCTCCATTAGTTGTCTCTTTTCTAGACTGAGGAACCTTAGATTAGTTAGTCATTGCTTACATAGAAGATTCATATATTTTCTTGTTGCCTTCTCTGAACCTTTTCAGATTTATTAAATCCCTTTTGATACGAAAGGAGCAGAACTGCACACAGTATTCAAGATACTGGCAAATCATGAACTTATACAGTGGCATAATGTTGTTCTCTGCTTTGTTATCATTTTCTCTTCTAATAACATAGCTTTTGATCTGCCTTGTTGACTACTACAGAGCTTCAGGCTCATTTTTTCTATAAATTAATTTTGTATAGCCCTAAAATTTCTTTCCTAAACAGAAATGGCTACTAACTCAGAACCTATGATTTTACATTTAATGTTAAGGGTTTTTTTTTTTTCCTCTAGGTACACTATTTTATGTTTATCTACATTAAAATTCTAGTAGAAATAGAAGAAAAAAATACAGTTCTTAGTAATTACAAATGTTTATGCAAGAGCTACATGCCAATGAGGAAAGATTAGTATATAAGTAATAGAATTTGTGGTAGTAATAATTATGGACTGTATGGTGAAGGCCAATTCCGTTTGTTACTGGCCTCTAACTCGTGTACTTGCAGTCCACAGGATAGTCACCAAAACTTCTTGCTTGTAGAAAACTTGATTCTGTTACTAAACTGCAAAGTAAACTCTTTAAGTTGATCCAAAGAGAAGACTATGCCTTATAGTGGAAGACTGAGTATAATGAAATACTAATTTGTTATGCATATTCAGAGAAATTCTACATACTTTATCTGAAGAAATTAAAGGAGTCTTTTTCTATTGCAGCTAGATGCATGCACTAGTTAGCCTACGAGATCTCCTCCCTGAGATAAACATTAGTAAGAAAACTTGTGGATTATTTGAGTCACACGGAAGCTCAATGAAGCTTCTAGGCAAAAATGGGTAAAATTCTGTTGATATTACTAAAACTTCAGCATCTAGTTAGCAAAATACCCTGTTTTAATCAGGTCTATTGGGCATTTAAAACCACTGGCACATTTTATCTGCCAGGACACTTCATCTTTGGCTCTCCTTATCTTCCTGGATATCTGATATCATAAAATATCCAGCTACTGATGTTGCAATAGAGAAAGATAGGTGGAGAAAAAAAAATTGAGAGAAGGAAACAGAATGTAGAAGGAGGTATGCAAGAGTACGAAGAGCCTTCACCACAGAGTAATTGAGCTGGGTTCAGGGAGAAGGAAAATAAAAATGGAAGAATTCAGCATAAGAAAACAAACTATGCACACAAAGCCCCTGGGTTCATAGCAAACATTAGGCTTGTAGAGGGAATAGGTGATACAAAGGAAACTAAGGGTTTACGAGATTGCACAATAGCTGTCTGGACTGCGTAAATAGTGAACTTCCAATTTCTTAAATGCAGTAACCCTAATTTCCACCTGTTCCGTTTATTAGGATGTTAAAGTACCTACTATCATGAATATATACTGTATGGTGAATTACATTTAAGAAGGTCAGAATAGACATAAAACATTCATTCTGGAAACTGAACCTAAGGATTGAATACAATGGCACTGTTTTACTATATAAGAAAAAAGACAGGTAAAAGAATGAGAATGTGAAAGCAAAGACAGTTATATTTCTTGACAGTAGTGTTTTTTGGAAAGGGTTACTGGGCATGGTCTAGGTTAATAGCTTGATATAAATGTTTGTAAATAGATTATACACAAGC